GTCACTAATAGATTTAACTGTTAAATTCAAGTTTAATACTGTTAATACATTTCTAAAATTATATAAAATTAGTGACCACAGTAAAACATGGATTTGTTTGTTAATTGACATATCTTGTATAATTATGGAAGTTTTCAGAACAAAAACGTTGAATACATGTAGTTTATCAGTGTATAAGCATTGGTAAACTGTCCAAATACAGTTTTTATCAATGAAAACAGCAAAAATTACTGTAATTTCACAGCTAATGATTTTTATTACAGTTGTAAAACTTTTAAAAATCAGATTAAAATAAAAAAATCTAATAACAGAACTCTTCTGTAAGTTTTAGCCTAATTATTTGTATTATAGCAGTGTTCTGTATTTATAGCTCATTTAATTGGTTTTACAGTGTAAATATCTTTAATTAATCATTAAAGATACAAAAATGAGACAAGATTTTATATAAAATTTAAGCTAAAAACTACAGATTTAAAAAAAAATCAGCATTTTTACGAGTTATTTTGAGTTATTTTCTGTGATTTTACTGTATTTTTAGCTCCAGCTGCAGGAATATTTACGTTCTCCTGCCAGCAGTTTGTGTAGGTATCTGTTGTAATATTCGCTCGGCGTCGGTGTCACCTGTCAGTCTGGGAGCTTCCTCCTCCTCCTGTTTCTCAGGCTGCTTTCGTCCTGTCGCTGCCAATAATAGAGGCATCAGCTGTGACTTTGGGGGATTGAAAGGTGACAGGAGGAGAGAGGGAGGGAGGGAATGACGGGCGGAGGAGTGGAGATTTAAAGTGCTGCTGAAGTGCCGATGTTTCATCTATGACAGATCCTTCCTCTGATTGGCTGCCGTGGGGGAATTTTCTTTCCTGTAATTGGCCACTGAGTGGCATTTCCGTGTCCTTGTTGGTTTCTGAGGGGAATTCCAGGGAAGAAATTTCCTTCCTGATTCAGACCGTTGGAGTGTTTGTGTGCGAAGGGAGAAAACAAACCACAGTTTAGATTCATTAAGTCAATAAAAGACGTAAAAGAACGAAGAAATCGAATCAATATAAGTTTATTTATCTAGATTTCATTTGTGTAAACACATTACGTAACAAACAGTAAACAAACAAACAGTATATGTCCATCATTCATGAACATACTCAACCTTACAGCCCTCTTCATGTTTCCTCATCTCGTTTACTCTCCTTGTTTCCTCTTCTCGTTCCTTATCCTCAGTTATTGGCATTCTTTATTTTGGCATTGGTTATCAAACAAAGTGCCAAGTAGTTGTTTGCTGATTGATTACAGTTCTAATTATATGATATGATATTTGGGGGGGTTTATAGATCATATATACATATATACTTTATATAAACACGTTATTCAACCAGTTTTTAGTGTTTTTCTGTGGCTTTGTACTCAGTGTTTGTCCTCGGCCCTCTTTGCTCTGTGAGGTTTTAGCGACTGTCTGTCGGACGTCTTCCTCACAGTGAACTCACCTCCTTAAGTCAGGAACTGTATGTGTGTGTGTGTGTGTGTGTGTTTGATACCTGGATTCCCACCTTCAGGGTTTTTTTTCCTCCCTTGGGAAGGAATCAAAGCCGTTCTAGAAATTTTACCTTTGGTGCTTCCAAAGCTCCCTCCTGCTGTCCCCGTCCTCACTTCCATCACCTCCTTTTCATCAGTGGCAGCATTAAAGTCTGTCTCAAGTCTCTCGATGCCACCCAGGATGTCTCACTTTACCCCCCCACACCACCACAACCACCACCCAAACAAAAAGGGCAGTCTGTAGAGAGAGAGAGGCATCCTGGAAATGAGAGATCACAGCTTCTCTCAGTAATTTGGGCTTTTTGTTGGTACACAATATCCCTGGGCTCTACAGTTAGTCAGATAATATTGAAAATGTTCTCAAAGCCAAACACAGCGCTCTTAAATCACCTCTCCAACACCCAAAGCCCCAAAATACATGATGTAAACCAGAGAAAAGCACCAAAAAAGATTCTTGCTCGATAAATGATGGACACATTGAGGCTACATTATAAATGAAATAATGATTATTGTTTGAACTCATTCGATGAAAAGGTTTAGGTCATTTTATGTCACGATTATTGTCGTCAAAATAATTGTGATAATTAATAAAAACTAAAATAAAAAATAAATACAGGGACCTTACATTGGCATGCAGTCACTCATGAGGATATTTACAATTAGCTATAAGTTGAACTCCAACTTTTAAGTTTTTAAATACATTTTAGAGTTTTGCTGACCTCTAATCATTGTAATTTACTTAACTCTTAAATCTTTGAGTTAAAAAACTGCGATCATTCATCCTTTGGATGCTTAAAAATGTAAATATTAAAATAAAATATTAAATTATATCAATCATTATATCAGTCGACGCTTGTGAGCTACTTCAGGCAGTTAAATCTGACTTTTACACACGACATGCAACATTTCCCAGCTCTCCCTCTCCATTAGCCTGCCTGTCATTCTGGGAGTTATACGGCTGTAATAAACATTTCAAACCTGAGTTGTTCGACTCAAATTGATTAAATTATTAAATACAGATTTGTTTTTCACTATTTTTCTGGGCTTTTAATGCCTTTAATTGATAGTGACAGCTGAAGAGTGACAGGAAAGGGGTGAGAGAGAGAGAGAGAGAGATTGTTGTTTGTAGAACATAAAGAAAAGAAAGAGTTTGTCTCACTCTTTCCAGTTGTTCAGTCATTTTGTTGTAAAAGTTGGAGGGTGACGAGCCATAAAAAGCTCTTTCAGTTGGATGTGAGGGTGAAAGAGGACCAGCCTCCACCCTATTATCAACACAAAGTAGGAAACTTGTCTAACTGCAGTCTTCACATTATATTCTGTGGCTAATAACAAATAATATCTCAACTCTCTCTGCCCTCTCCCCCATCTCCCCTGTCCAACTGCATTCGATACCCCACAGAGGAAGAGAGGCGCTAAAAGCATGCAAGTGTCCAGTTAACCGTTTATTTTTAAAGACGTCCTCAACCTGATAGTGGAGACGGGGCGCAGGGGAGTTGGTTGTCGTGTCTGGATATTTATTTTTACCACCGAGCAGCAGCTATAGTCTCAGACCACTGAGTGTAGCTGAGGATAATACACATAAACACATAACTGTACAGTACGTAATGCATAAATATGTGTTTTCTGCTCTGATATTCTGTTGATCATCAATCTTTAGATTGATCAGAGGGGTCACAGGTTTGGTGACCGGTTTATTCATGTTTCACTAAAGACAAACAAAGAGTTAAAGCTT